ATAGATGCTTCAATCCAACTCTGTTTTCAATTGACACCATGCATTTGTCAAAGGACTCTTCATGGGTTTTTTTCCTTGACAAGAGGAGCACAACAAAAGAAAAGAACATTATCAAAAATCTTCTCTTGTCATTTTTGGTTTTAAGGAGTGCTCATTAATCATACTTGTTATTTCCTACCAACCCTGAACAGTTTGAGAAATAGTCAAAGGACCAGCTTGGAATAAAAAGTTTGGCAAAGCCAGATTGGAAAACAAAGTTTATTCTCCAGAAAGTTGAATCAAGTTTATGACTACTTCCCTTGACAGAAGTTTCTTCTCGAGTATTTCCCTGAGTAGATCAAAGTGTTGGTGAAATTTCTTGCTTTATGGCTGTGAGTAGGTTTGTCTGGTGGGTAAAAATAAGAGGTCTCTGATAACTAGAGAAATTTCACTGAAAGAGGCCTGGCATTGGGCTGGGGTGAGGAGGCAGGGGAGATGTATCAACCAACCATCAGAATCACTGGAAAATTGAATGGATATCTAATCTATCCCATCCTTTTTATCCAGTTTGGTCATTTTCACCTGAAATAAGAGTGACAGGGAAAGAGTTGGAATCATATGGCTGGGAGTCTTCTCCTAGCGCCTACATGGAGAGGACTAACACCCAGATTCTCTGACTCCTGTCTGGTTTCTTCCCATAGACAAAGTCTTTCTCCTTAATCCAACTTTAGTCGGTTCCTCTGAGCCCTTTTCTCAAATAGGCCTGGACCTCAGACTTCAGCATCAATCTTATTGGGCCTATTGGGCTACATCACTGAGTTTCAGGAAGAATCCTGCTAAGTCAGTTTAGAGAGTATTCCCTACCCTTGATAGCACTCTCCCCTCAATATCTTATTAAATTCTTCATTTTCCATCATCCCCCAGTGATATCTGATCACTCTGACCTGCCTTCAGCAAGAATTCTGTTAACTAAGTTTAGCAAGATTTGTCTCTACCCTTGATGTCACCTCTTAGTAATTTTCTTATCCACTGAACATCCCTCCCTCACAAGCTGTTCTTTGGTTATAAATCTCCTTGTTTTCTTTGTAATATTGAGCCTAGTTTTATACCAAGGTCTATTTTCCCCTATTGCAATTGTTCCTGAATAAAATCTGTTTTTACCATTTTAACTACTGACCAACTCTAGTTTTCTGTAACACCAGCACCTCAATCATCTCTATCACTTATCCATTGGGAAGAGCTAAGAACATTCCACGTCTATCCATGAAGCAGAGAATTACTGGCTTCACTCCTCTGATGAGGTCACCAAAACTCTGGAAGTGAAGATAAGTTTCTAGGCAAAGTCTCAATGCTGATGAAAGAAGAAAAAAAAAACTGCAAAATAGGGACTACAGATACTGCTAGAACCATAACTATAAAGGATTGCAAAATTCTTGCAATTTTCCATGGCCCCTCCAAACCTCAAGAGTAAAGGAAATTTAATGGCCCATACATATATATTTCCTCAGGAACCTGGAACGGCAGAGTTACCATGTCTTCATGTTGGCATTTTGGATTATTAGTTTTGGCTAATTTAAGGTTCTTAAATCACCTTGAGCTTCAAGGAGGGCAAAAAAAAAAATCATGAATGTAAACCATGTTAATACAATAATAATAACGTGGACTCCCTGGGGATTAGGAGGAAATATTTCAAATTCCAGAAACAAAAATGTTCTTGACACACATATTTCTTTATGGTGTGTGTATGGGGGAGTGTTGTAACTAATCTGTCTGCTACTATTCAGTTTTCTTGTTCCAGTGCTATTACTACATGCTTCAAGAGTTTTCTCTGCTACCTACTCATTGATCCCTAAAAGCTATCATTTACTATGTTATTACAAAAGCCTGTGAGAGGTTTCCATCCTTGGACAGGAAAACCACTCTTGTCTCATTTCTTGTCTGATTACATCTGCTGTTTCTGGATCCATACATGTCATCTTTCCTCATTCTTAAAAAAATGGAAAGTTTTCAAGTGATGCAATGACCTTGATTTCCTGGGCTTCTCTGTATGTTTTTCCAGTTATAAATCAACCTTAAAATATCATCCAGCATTTGAAATGATCTATGACATTACTATTGATTCCATCCCATTTTATAAAGGTTACTTTTTCCTCAGCCTAGACATTCTAAAGACCTTCTGAGTAGCTACACTGGGGACAGAAATGAAAATTAAAATAAACTACCTTAAACTACAAATGCTAGAAAAGAAAACAATTATATTAGGATTTTCATGATTCAGATCAAAGGCAATTTATTTTTCTTAAAAACAAAACTGAATAAAAACATTTGTATATTTCAAATTTATACACTATAATAGATAATTTTTGAATGAAAATGATATTACTGAATATGCATGTATGGACAATGATCCTGACCCTTCCCCACACATTTCCCCATCCCCACCCATGGCCCCATGTGCAGCCAAAATCCTCTGAACAACAGGAAAGAGACCAGAGCACAAGCATCTTGTCTTTGGCCAACCATCACATTTATTTGCTTAGTTGGTTACATTTTTAGATTTTTTGACCCTTGGTATCTGTTTCTTATCATGACTTCTATCAGTACTTTCCCCAGTGCCTTAGGGCTTCTTTTGGTTTCCACTGTCTCTACTCTCACTCAGGAACTTCCTTAAAGTTTTGTTAAATAATACACTGAGTCAAACATCAGGACCTAATATGGTTGGGTTTTCATTGCTTTGTGAGGCAATAGCATCATTTCTCAGATTCTGCAGATACCTAGTTGATTTTTACAGGAGTCCTGTTGAATACTGAAATGAGAACAGACATTCTTCTCTATGTGCAATGGAAAAAGACATGAATAAATAACTCTGGTCTAACCTAACAACTAATGATCAAACTCTCCCATAGATGAAACTTCAAACAAGGTCTTGACCTTTCTGGTTCCTTTCAGTCACAAGAACAGACTCAGTTAAGTGACTAAGAACTCTCATCTTAATATTATCATTTCAGTTTTTATTCACAGTGGAATACTCCTTCATTCCCTCAGCTTGGGGTCACTTTAGGCTTAACAGCTTTTCTCACTTAACTATTTGAAGCTCCTATTGGTTTGGAGTTTGTGGGGATGGGTGATTGAGGGTTTAGTTAAAATTTGGGGTGTTGGCTCTTACTTCATGTGCCAGTTCATAGGTGCACTGGAGATCCAAGTGGGAAACTCTGACCGCAATTCTGTTAGTCCAGCAGCACTTCTTCAGGCTGGCCATCAATAGTCCTTTAGAATCCAGACTTCCAGATGTTCACACCTATCAGACTCAAGAGTTCAGAACCTCCAGAGGTGCTTCATGGGCTTGGATGTATTTTATAAGCTCCCAGGTGATTCTAACTGAGACAGAATAGGAGCCCCTCTTAGGGGCTGTGGAACTCCCCAAGCATAGGAAGAAATGCTGGGATCCTCCAAGTGAAATTTCAGGCATCTAGCTATACCTGAGAAGTAAATAGCAACTTGATAAGAAAGACAATAATAATAGCTTAATACAACAGCCAAGAAAGTTAAGGTCACACGATGATTGGTTTTCCTGTAGAAGCTAAAGGTAGCATCTTATCACATGTCCCTGAATTGTTTTCGGAAAACTGGATCCCCACTGAAGTGATCCACTGGCACATAGACCTCAAATGCCGGGGAAACTGAGGACTGAACTCTGATCACCATTCTTGGTTCTAAATTTCTAAGGGGTGTGGAGGAGGTCATTCTCAAGAGCCAGAGCTAACATTCTTTTCTGTTGACCTCCAATTTGTAGACCTGTGGGCTCCTACTTCGAGAGGTCAAACCAATGCACAGTCTTTACGTGTTGATGAATGACTTTGCCTATAACCTCTACCTCCACTCCCTTTAAAAATCCTTACCTGTAAGCCATTGAGGAGATTATGTCTTAAGAATGCACTGCCGGCTGGGCACAGTGGCTCAGCCTATAATCCCAGCACTTTGGGAGGCCGAGGCGGGTGGATGACCAAGTCAAGAGATCGAGACCATCCTGGTCAACATGGTGAAACCCTGTTTCTACTAAAAATACAAAAATTAGTTGGGCATGGTGGCACACGCCTGTAGGTCCCAGCTACTTGGGCAGCTGAGGCAGGAGAATTGCTTGAACCCAGGAGGCGGAGGTCGCGGTGGGCCAAGATCGTGCCATTGCACTCCAGCCTAGGTGACAAAAGTGAAACTCCATCTCCAAAAAAACAAAGAATGAACTGCCTAGTGCCTAGTTATCCTTGCTTGGTGCCCTGCAATAAATGCCTCACCTTCTCTCGTGGCAGTCCTGATGTCAGGGTTTAGCTTTGCTATGTCAGGCAGGCTGACCTAGTTCAGTTTGAATTACACAGCCTGTGGTCATACCTGAGATTTATGGGTTTGTTTAAACCCAACTCAGGAAATATTTTTTATTCCCATCCCTCACCCTCCACCCCTGTACTTCAAAAAGCAAAATCACTTCTATGATATGGTTGTCTCTAAACCACCTACAATTCTTTTTTTCTTTCCTGAGACAGGACCTTGCTATGTCTCCCAGACTGGAATGCAATGGTGCAATCATAGCTCACTGCAGCTCTGAACTCCTGGGCTCAAGGGATCTTCCTCCCTGTCTCCTGTGTAGCTGGGACTGGATGCATGCCACCATGCCCAGCTAATTTTTTCTTTTCTTTTTTTTTTTTTCAGTAGAGACCAGGTCTCACTATGTTTCCCAAGCTTACCTAAAAAAATTTGTATTACTAAAGAGAGCACCAAACGTCTCACTCTAAAATATCTGCATTCAGGTTAATAATGCTCTCCCCAGTTTCCCACAAAAAAGTTCATATTTGAAGTCTGTGTTTGAATATTTAAAGTGCTGGTTTGGATAGCTTTTTCAAAAACAAATGAGCAGTCACGTTTAGAGAAAGTAAATTGTTTGCAACTTTGAACCCCCGGCCTTTACTCTAACTATTACTGCTTCAATTCCCCTTAATTTAGTAATATTTTTTTTAAAGTTATGAGACCTGGACTCAGTGAGGGTACTCCAAAACCAATAATTTTATCTACAGGTGCAGCAAAAACAGTGTAGCTTTTCTGTCCGTTAAGGAGAGATGGAACTGCATTAGTTTTGGCTCCTATAAAGCAAAGGAAGACAAAGAGAAATCATCAGTTTAATTGTAAGTCACAGGGACTCCATATTTGACCAAAGCAATATCTACATCTTTTATCAACTAGTAATGAACACCAGATGAGCTGTGATTCATTTAAATAAAATGTTCTTAACTGGTAAAGGTAATTAAGATTAATCGTCTAGGAATACCAAGGGAATGTCACATGCTATAATACCCTTTCTGCGGATGTCAAATGAGTATAAGCCTTGTTTTCATTTAATAGAGTGTCCTCTAAAAGATATTTTGAATGTGGGTGTAAGCTCTGTTAAAGATAGCATCTGGGCTATTTATTTTCTCAAATGTGGTTTTACAAAGAGCATTTAAAGTACCTCAGATAAAGGCAAAGGACAAAATATTCTCATACACAGACACGGTTCTTTCCATATGGTACTAGGATACATATGGTTTCAAAAAGCATATAAATTGCTGGCAAGTTTGAAAATTGATTGATCATAATCTTGTAGACAGATGAACTGAACTGTTCAAACACTCACTTTTTGGTAAAAGCCTCAAATGAGAATTCATGATTTGTCAAATTGGGATAGTCCTAGAAAAGAAAATACAACAAGAGATCCACTGAGTTCAAAAACAAAATGGAAACTGTGGTTCCTGGCAGAAACAAAAGCCGGATACATTTTATAGGACAAATCAAGATCTGGCTTCTGGTTAAGATGACATCAACATAAGAAGAATGAATCAAGGTCATGGGCTGTCTGAGCAGGCCTTGTCAAAGGAATGCAGGCCACAGAACACCGGGACGTTGGCTGTATTAAGGCAGCTCATAATATGTCATCTCTTTCCCAAGTTTTCCTTCCTCTTCTGTCTTCTTCTTATAACCCCTCTTTTGCCTAATTTGCTTTTTCACAAGAAGAACATTTGACATTTTCAGAGATGGTTGGGTTTAAGACTAAACCTATGCCAAGCCCGACTCAGAATGTACTTCCTCATAAAGAAGTGATGCTTTTTTTCTGTGTAAGTCAGACTACTCATTGATCCACAAAGAAACCAGCCAAGTATTTGATAACAGTTTTGAAAAATGCTGTACATTACCAGGTGCTTTTATGGCAACAAGAGACCTGTAACAACAAACTAATCTTTCTGAATCCATGAGCCTGTGGAGCCAGCTCAATCTGCAGTGGCAACCTGTAGATTTCAGACAAAGGCTAATTGTTCCTTTTTTGCGATCATCGTGCATCTTGCTATTTGATATGGAGATATTACTTGACAGCTGTCTTTTATTTCTCTAACTGTGTACAATGGAACAGCTTATTTCTGAAAATGAGGAGTTGAATGGTCGCAGATGGCCCACCTCAATTTCAAGAATGAGGAAAGATTGGGTGAATTCCTCTGTAAAGGCTCAAGGTGACCATGTCTTCCAGGCCTTCCTTTTCAGGTTGTTGCACAGTTGGGCATAATTCTCTTCCTCCCCCCGCCCGATCTAGTCAATGCTGAGAGCATAATTGTTGGTGGTTTTTCACAAGTATAGTATTCAGCCCTTCCAGCCACAAACGAGGCATTGATGAGTAAGGAATCCTCTCCTTGCTAAGTGTTTTCCTCTTTTTTCCATAAGAAAAAATGGAAAGTTGTTTTCAGTTGGGAAAATGTATGAAACCTGTGCCTGATTGTACAATGACAGCTGGAGTGTCCTCTGACAATGACAGTTATTTTATTGGTATTAACATTGTCATTAAATAAAAGCCTGGGTGCGGTGGCTCATGACTGTAATCTCAGCACTTTGGGAGGATGAGGCGGGTGGATCACTTGAGTTTGAGACCACCCTGGCCAACATGGTGAAATCCTGACTCTACTGAAAATACAAAAATTAGCCAGATGTGATGGTGTGTGCCTGTAGTCCCAGTTACTTGGGAGGCTGAGGTGGGAGAATGGCTTGAATCCAGGAGGGAGAGGTTACAGTGAGCTGACATAGCTCACTACATTGCAGCCTGGGTGACAGAGTGGGAGACTCCATCTCAATAATAAATAAGTAAATAATTAAAATATATATATTCTGCATTACAGACTGTTTCTGTTTTTCTACTTTCTTTTGTTTTCCTAATTACCCATCCCTCCTGTATGACTTTCCTGGGGCTGCCATAACAAAGTAGCATAAACTAAGTGGCCCAAAGTACCTGAAATATATCATATTCTGGAGACGAGAAGCGTGAAATAAAGGTATTGGCAGGGCCAGGCTCCTCAGGTTTTCTTCCTTTGTCTCTTCCTAGCTTCCAGTGGTTTTCAGGAAAATTTTGAAATTTCCATGACTTCAGCTGTATGACTCTACCTGTGCCTTTGTCATTACATGGCATTCTCCTTGTGTGTCTGTGTCTTCACATGGCCATCTTCTCTTAAGGATGCCAGTTACACTGGATTAAGGACATGCCCTATGCCCATCAGACCTCATCTCAACTATATCTATAATGAACTTGTTTTCAAATAAGGTCACATTCTGAGGTACTGGGGTCTGGAAAGTCATTATATCTATCTTGAGAGGAGACGATTCAAAACCTATAATATGCATCTAGCATCTTTTGGAATTGTCCTTCATCTTGGCCTTGATAGCATTGCTAAGCTCATCTCTGCTTGCAGTCAATTTATTTCAGTTTGCTCTGTAACCTGATAAGATTAACTTGTCATAAGGTATTTTCTAATGCTAAAAAAATAATATTGTTTCAGGTCAGAACTGGGTTTGTTGACATTGAAGAAATGAAAAATACATATATAAAGCTAAATGTTAGGCATTGTCCTATAAGTGCAAACCATAGACATGCAAAAAAAGATGTATTTACCTTCAAGGAGCTGAGAGGGAAATGAATGTGAAAATGTACCGGTCTACCTGACACACTATATCAGTGTGCAGGAAGTGGTCTTAGAAGAGTGTTCGGATACGGAGCCTATGAATCTCTGTGGCAAGAGGAAAGGCCAGAAAATCTTCAGGCATCTGATTTAATCTAGGTGGGAAGAGGGGAATGCAAAGGTTAGACATTCCTGTTCCTAACTTTCGGAAAATCATCTGATATTTTAAAAGCCATTTTCTACTGTTTTATAGTAACTTTGGAAGTCATGCTGCCTAAGTAGTTAAGATGCAGGATTTTTTGCTCCTTAGTTCAGCTAAAATCCATATTCTTGTCATATGACCAGGAAAAATCAGTCATGCAGACACACTGAAAGGTGAGGAGTGCAGAATTTGATAAAGAAAGATCTCAGTGAAGAGAAAAAGGGGTCCTGCCAACAGGCTTCCATCTCACAGGCTGAATACCAGGCCACCACACACATCAACTGAAGAGGCCAGGCTCCTCCCCACTGTGTAAGGTGCAAATCCCCAGTGGCCACACTCTAGTCTCCGAGTGCACAGGTGGGCCCCCAATCTGTTGTGGGCATGTCCAGACAAGGATCTGGGCAGGTTCCCTTATTTGCATAAAAGCATCTCATATAAACACTTGTGGGGCAGGTCAGAGATTCTCTGGAGATCCTCCCTTGTCTTCTTCCTGCATCTGTCAGTTACACATAGGTGGCAGTTTCTATCTTTTAAAACCACCAACCATCTTGATGATCAGGCTTCTTCAGGGCAGGTTGATCATGTGAGTTGTGCTCTAAGTGTGCTTTAGGACTTTCTGTATATTTATCAAATGTATAACCTGCAATGATTGACTCCTTTATATCACCTGGAGATCTTTAACAATTTTCTTAACTATTAAGCTAAGTTGCCCAGAATATCCTAAGCACTGTTAACAATTAGCTGGTAGGAAACCTGTATTCACGTCTATGAGTAGGAATGAACAAATTGAATGAGCACATACTTAACAGATAATCATGAAAGAGACCATAACAACACAATGAAAGAAGAGACCTTGGAGTCAGATAGATCAGAAGCTGAATTCTGGCTCTGTCTTTTATGAGCTGTGTGATATATTAATAATGTTATCTCATGATTGATGTGAAAATCAAATTAAGTGACATACAGAGACAGATTGGGCACTGAAATCAGAATAAGACTCAGATGTCATTTGCTAAGTTCAGGTTCTGTATCAACAAACTTAGGATAAAGCACCATACATTATGGAGAAATAGGTATGAGTTGATATAATCCATCTGTATGTGACATCCCAGTGTAGTTTACAGGATTTCTGTCACATCCAGCCAATGATGCTGCTGGAGCAAGAAAGCAGCCATAGAAAATATGCAAATAGAACTTGTCTGTGTTCTGCAAAACTTTATGTGCACTGAAATTTGAATTTCATATAATTTTTATATATCATGAAATATCATTTGTCTTCACTGCAGCACAGTTTACAATACCAAAGACCTGGAACCAACCCAATTGCCCATCAATGATAGACTGGACAGGGAAAATGTGGCACATATACACCATGGAATATTATGCAGCCATCAAAAATGATGAGTTCATGTCCTTTGTAGGGATGTGGATGAACCTGGAAACCATCATTCTCAGCAAACTGACACAAGAACAGAAAATCAAATACCACATGTTCTCACTCATAGACAGGTGTTGAACAATGAGAACACATAGACACAGGGAAGGGAACATCACACACTGGGGTCTGTTGAGGGAAAATAGGGGAGGGACAGTGGGGGCTGGGGAGTCGGGGAGAGACAGCATGGGGAAAAATGCCAGATATAGGTAATGGGAGGAAGGCAGCAAATCACACTGCCATGTGTGTACCTATGCAACAATCTTGCATGTTCTTCACATGTACCCCCAAAACTAAAATGAAATAAAAAATAAAAAATAAAAATTATTTAAAAATAAGAAAATTTTCTTACCCATCATATGCCAAGCAATGACCTATATCAACTTAGAACTACCCTTGGATCTACAGATGCCATGTTTGTATGATCAGCCATTATAATGGCTGCTTACTCTGGGGTTTGTGTATCATATTCCTGAAGTATTCCCCATGTTCTCGATCCTGTGTTAACACCTAATACCCACAATATGTCATTTA